AGGTGTAATTCCATAAATCCATGGAAAAACCCAAAAATTGTTGGTTTAATTCCCAATTATCCCGTGAAATTCCGTAAATTCTTGGGAAAACCCAACAATTGTTGGCGTAATTCCCAATTATCCCGTGAAATTCCATAAGTTCTTGGGAAAACCCAAAAATTGGAGGTGTAATTCCATAAATTCTTGGGAAAACCCAACAATTGTTGGTGTAATTCCCAATTATCCCCTGAAATTCCGTAAATCCATGGGAAAACCCAAAAATGGGAGGTGTAATTCCCAATTATCCCGTGAAATTCCGTAAATTCTTGGGAAAACCCAAAAATTGGAGGTTTAACTCCCAATTATCCCGTGAAATTCCATAAATTCTTGGGAAAACCCAACAATTGTTGGTGTAATTCCCAATTATCCCGTGAAATTCCGTTAATCCATGGGAAAACCCAACAATTGTTGGTGTAATTCCCAATTATCCCGTGAAATTCCGTAAATTCTTGGGAAAACCCAAAAATTGGAGGTTTAATTCCCAATTATCCCGTGAAATTCCGTAAATCCATGGAAAAACCCAAAAATTGGAGGTTTAACTCCCAATTACCGGGTGAAATTCCATAAATCCATGGAAAAACCCAAAAATTGGAGGTGTAATTCCATAAATCCATGGAAAAACCCAAAAATTGGAGGTTTAATTCCCAATTATCCCGTGAAATTCCATAAATCCATGGGAAAACCCAAAAATGGGAGGTGTAATTCCATAAATCCATGGGAAAACCCAAAAATTGGAGGTTTAATTCCCAATTATCCCGTGAAATTCCGTAAATTCTTGGGAAAACCCAACACTTGTTGGTGTAATTCCCAATTACCGGGTGAAATTCCATAAATTCTTGGGAAAACCCAACAATTGTTGGTGTAATTCCCAATTATCCCCTGAAATTCCGTAAATTCCTGGGAAAACCCAAAAATTGGAGGTTTAACTCCCAATTACCGGGTGAAATTCCGTAAATTCTTGGGAAAACCCAAAAATTGTTGGTGTAATTCCCAATTATCCCGTGAAATTCTGTAAATCCATGGGAAAACCCAAAAATTGGAGGTGGAACTCCAAATGACCCCGTGAAATTCCATAAATCCATGGGAAAACCCAACAATTGTTGGTGTAATTCCCAATTATCCCGTGAAATTCCGTAAATTCTTGGGAAAACCCAACAATTGTTGGCGTAATTCCCAATTATCCCGTGGAATTCCGTAAATT